TAATGACGGCCAACCATTAATGACTTAACTTTTGAAGTGGTTTGTGAAATGATGGATTATAAATTCGACTGGGGATCGAGTGAGTTAGGTTTTACGCCGCTGTAAGCAACATTGCACCCACATCACTTGACCCCGGACATGGGCACACATTGTACACGTGGGTAATCGAACCTGGCTCTCGGCCTGGCGAGGCGACGTTGTTACCATTGGGCTACCCTACAGTCCCTGACTGACATGAGACTGTATGTGTAATTAAATGAAATACGAATTATATTCCAGCTGTTCCCATTCTCCTCTATCTTGAGAAATAGAGAATGAATTGGAATATATATTTGTTTGTTGTTTAACGCCGCACTCAGCTATACCCCACTTATATGACGGCGGTCTGTAAAATATTGAGTCTGAACCAGACACTCCTGTGATTGACATCATGAGCATCGATCCACGCCACTGGGATACGATGACATGCATCAACCAAGTCAGCGAGTCTGACCACCCGATCCTGTTAATTGCCTCTTACAAGCATAGTCGCCTTTCGCGGCAAGAATGGGTTGCTGAAGACCTATTCTTCCCGGATCTTCACGGGCCCTATGTATGTGTAATACTCTGGACACACTGGAGCAAAGCCTGGCATCCTAGAGATCTTAATCCAGACATTATAATGAAAGTAATATCATTTCACAACCAATATATGAAACAGCCAAGCCGTGACATTTCTATTGTTCTTTTCCAAGTAAAAATGGACGGAAAGGTCGCCGAGATGTCGTACGAATGAATGTCAATGATGCACAGTATGTATCGGTTTTGCACCAGATCCCCTCTGACAACTTACCACATCGAAATGCCAGAAACTGTAAAACACAAGAACCCAATTTCTATTGATTTTTTAAATAAGACATCTGATAACAGAGAGCAAGCGAGTAGTAGGAGTATGACTCACAAGATCAAACAAACTCAAGTTTATTCTTAATTGTCAACTGTTTGACGCAAATGGCAAAAACTACAAATTTAAACGATTGTGCTTTGAAGCTTAATACATGGCAAAAACTACAAATTTAAACGATTGTGCTTTGAAGCTTAATACATGGAATTTCATCTGATTACACTACGATTTTTAGTTTCAGATGTTTTTGAAATATATATCTTACATCTCTATCTTTCCTTCAATCGCAGCTTGTGGCATTCGTCCGGCGATATGTTCAAAGTAATATAATCTGAAATGGATATTTGAGTTCGTATTGTATGAATGATCTTCTTTTTCTTTTAACCTTTATCAAACCATAAAATGTGATTATTTAATATTAAATGAAGAGACTGTCTATGTTTTTTCTTATATATTTTGAAAAGTACAAACGTTTTGATGAACGAAATAGAATTATGAATCTATGTTACAGTAAATTGTTGCTTGCCTCAAAGGGATTATTTTCTTTACTAGAATTGCTGAATCAATGTTAGGTTTCAGTTCATATTAGAAATGCCAGGGTTTATGATAACAAAGTGGAAAATAGCAAGATGATGTTGATGTTGAACGATCTTTGCTTCTTTGGTTGTGAATAGGACGGGAGACATATGTTCTGCACAGGAGTTGCCATAGTATCTTATGAGCAGCTTGACCGCCCCTTTTGATTCTTAAGTTCAAATACAACGTTGATAACGTTCCATACTGCTAAAAAATAGCTTAGGACACCCTATTTTTCATATTTAATATATTTAATCCGTGGTCCTTACGGCCTTTTGAGGAGTATACGTAGGCAGTATTTGGTTAAATTTTACAATCCAATGAAGAACTCTGCAGTATGATATTGTATTTTATAGACACATACGTTGCTACGAGTGATATGGCCTAAATGCAGATTCGTACTATTATATGTAGTATCCTGTGACAACACCTACACTGTAGTTATTCGCGCGTTGTGTCTTTTATTTGAATTTGTCCATTTCGTACGAACCAATGATTCACAATTGCGTTTTGAATTTAAAACAATTTGATGAATCAGGAAGAAAGAATCTGAGAGGAATCAGGAAGAAAGTATCCGAGTTGAATCAGGAAGAAAGAATCCGAGATGAATCAGGAAGAAAGAATCCGAGATGAATCAGGAAGAAAGTATCTGAGATGAATTAGGAAGAAAGTATCCGAGATGAATCAGGAAGAAAGTATCCGAGATGAATTAGGAAGAAAGAATCCGAGATGAATCAGGAAGAAAGAATCCGAGATGAATCAGGAAGAAAGTATCTGAGATGAATCAGGAAGAATGTATCCGAGATGAATCAGGAAGAATGTATCCGAGATGAATCAGGAAGAAAGTATCCGAGATGAATCAGGAAGAAAGTATCCGAGATGAATCAGGAAGAAAGTATCTGAGATGAATCAGGAAGAAAGTATCTGAGATGAATCAGGAAGAAAGTATCTAAGATGAATCAGGAAGAAAGTATCCGAGATGAATCAGGAAGAAAGAATCCGAGATGAATCAGGAAGAAAGTATCCGAGATGAATCAGGAAGAAAGTATCTGAGATGAATCAGGAAGAAAGTATCCGAGATGAATCAGGAAGAAAGAATCCGAGATGAATCAGGAAGAAAGTATCCGAGATGAATCAGGAAGAAAGTATCCGAGATGAATCAGGAAGAAAGTATCCGAGATGAATCAGGAAGAAAGCATCTGAGATGAATCAGGAAGAAAGTATCTGAGATGAATCAGGAAGAAAGTATCTGAGATGAATCAGGAAGAAAGTATCCGAGATGAATCAGGAAGAAAGTATCCGAGATGAATCAGGAAGAAAGTATCCGAGATGAATCAGGAAGAAAGTATCCGAGATGAATCAGGAAGAAAGAATCCGAGATGAATCAGGAAGAAAGTATCCGAGATGAATCAGGAAGAAAGTATCTGAGATGAATCAGGAAGAAAGTATCCGAGATGAATCAGGAAGAAAGTATCCGAGATGAATCAGGAAGAAAGTATCTAAGATGAATCAGGAAGAAAGTATCTGATATGAATCAGGAAGAAAGTATCTGAGATGAATCAGGAAGAAAGTATCCGAGATGAATCAGGAAGAAAGTATCTGAGATGAATCAGGAAGAAAGTATCTGAGATGAATCAGGAAGAAAGTATCCGAGATGAATCAGGAAGAAAGTATCTAAGATGAATCAGGAAGAAAGTATCTGACTTAATTCAGGAAGAAAGTATCTGAGATGAATCAGGAAGAAAGTATCTGAGATGAATCAGGAAGAAAGTATCTGACTTGAATCAGGAAGAAAGTATCTGACTTGAATCAGGAAGAAAGTATCTAAGATGAATCAGGAAGAAAGTATTCCCCCTTGCCCTTTATATAATCAGGAAGAAAGTATCCGAGATGAATCAGGAAGAAAGTATCTGAGATGAATCAGGAAGAAAGTATCTGAGATGAATCAGGAAGAAAGTATCCGAGATGAATCAGGAAGAAAGTATCTAAGATGAATCAGGAAGAAAGTATCTGACTTAATTCAGGAAGAAAGTATCTGAGATGAATCAGGAAGAAAGTATCTGAGATGAATCAGGAAGAAAGTATCTGACTTGAATCAGGAAGAAAGTATCTGACTTGAATCAGGAAGAAAGTATCTAAGATGAATCAGGAAGAAAGTATTCCCCCTTGCCCTTTATATACCCCCTTCCTTGTGACAATGACATATGAGGTGAAAACGACAATGTACAACCCATGTCGCCATATTTCAACACAGACCAAGGTGCCCCTGCAAATCAGATCATTGGAACAAGTTTTAAGTAACTTAATTATTGCTAATTTGAAGCTCTTGATGCCATTTCATTGCACAATGCAAGCTCCAATTGCCTCTTGTGCTTCCTTGAGGGGTCATGCCGGCTGTTAGCATCATGCAATTATCAGGATGAACACCTCGAGGTTATGACAATTACCACCATAGGTGCTCTGTCTGGAGCAACTACCGTTTGGACTGATTTCAAATTTCTCAATACAACTTGTGGAGTGGGCGAACTAGGAACCCCTTGACATTAAGTTTCTTGTGGAGATCATGATGGAAAATTAGCTAACGGGACAGGCACAATTTAATGAGAGAATTTTACGCTTGACCTCAACTAAGGCGCACTACTTCGCCTCGAGCAAGGTCATATAAACGTGTGGGTTCTATGACCTTTTTGATAGAATCCCTACGCATGTGGCATGTCCAACAGAGTATACTTGAATCGATTTGCTAAGATGAGTAGGCATATTTATAGGGTCAGTTGTGAGTTGAAACCCTTATCTTGGTATCGAACACCACTACACACAACTCTGACGCGCTGAGTGAATCGTCAATGGCAGCATTCAGGGTGATGTGGTGTATACAATAGAAGGGTTACTTTTGATTATATCTTACGAGTTTGATAACAAGGAAATTCCATTATAATGCTTTGAAAAATACTACATAGAGTGCATGCACAGGAGATGCCTGAAGTGATTGTCACGACTTTTCTCCTCTTTTTGAGTAACTGTGAATACCATAAAACAAGTTATTTTGCAATCAATTTATCTCTCACATATTAGATATCTTACCATCCAGAAAATCGAATATCAAAGAGGAAACAAATAATATTGATAATGCCTTACTTTACTTGAGCAATGAGTCCGACGACCTTAAAAGTCGAAAATTCAGAAGAAAAATCAGATGTTTAAACCGCCAACGGTAAATAACTCTTTGACAATAAAAAAACCAACGAATTCCGTCTGTTATATTTAAGATTTATAACAGACGACGTGTTATATTTTTTATCACCTACCGATCTAAATCAAACTTTAAGATGATTAAATTGTTATTATTGTGTTGACCCACCGACCATTTTGTTCACTATCAAATTCCGCAAACCAAAGAGTCCCCAAAAGGTCTGGCTTTAGTTGAAATTGTAAAGGATTCATTGAGAATTTCGAAACATTAATATATGTCTATTCATTACAATTTGTAAATCAGTTGTTTTGAATTTATATTAGCCGTATGTTGAACATTGTGTTTCAGTGTGTAAAAACAGGACAAGAATGTCTCCAGACAAGTCAGTGTTGTAGCCCGGGAGACGTGTGTCTGACCAGCACAAAATATACCAAATATGGAGGTAAGTGTATACGTATATGCAGGCTAGTTTTTTCTTTAACTTCTACAAAACTAGACTTTCGTTTATCTCGAACATTGATATTTCGAACGATTAATGATCTAAAGAAAAATAGAAATAATAAATAGCAGTATATCCTGCCAAAAAAAACGGGGCATAATAACTAAATAGAATGTTTACCCCTATCTTGCAGTCGTGACACATGTTGGACACAAACGTTCTTTTTATGACTATACCTTCCTTTATATAATGAAATACTTGAGAGCAAATAAAAGTGCTGAAGCACTTGCTGCTGCCTAATTAACATTACCTAGTTATTAATTGGATGAATCAAATATAGCCTATATCATGCAGTAGTTTTCAATGCGTTGAATCTAAAGGAATATATATTATCAAGTTAAGCGATGTGACTGAGCATGGTATCATGGCTGAGTCTTGGCGATTATCCGAGACGAGCCTTATGAAAACATTGTCGTTATAAAAATCGATATCTTTACCATGTTTATCTACGGTGTGCTGCTTCATTACACGATCGATATTGCTAGTTTGGCATTTAGTGTTTTGTATGAGATATGATTATACCTCAAAGAGAATAGTGTGGTAGTCACAACGGTAACTAATGACGCACTCATAAACAACTTTCTCCATTTACATGCTTCATTTCAATCACCACAGGTAAGAAGTACACGGCCAGCACCTGCCGAAATGTCAAAGAGCTGTCCAGGCATATGCCACCTTACAAGAAGGCAGGTGAGTGGTCATCATCATCATCATCATCATCATCATCATCATCATCATCATCATCATCATCATCATTTACATCATCACCCTCCTCCTCTTCCCCATCTTCCTCTATCTCCACCTTCTCTTCCTCATCATAATAATAATCATCACTATATAATAGTTCTCGGTAACATTCCATAAAGTCTGGAAATGCTTGGGGTTTCAAAACATATACAAATCTATCGATCATAATGTGAAGGATAGTACGTACCGTCTATAACACTAACATTGTTTTTTATAGCCTTTCCCCTGTCAGTTTTTCATTTTATAACTCACGTAAACAGTATCCATGTACTTTAAGTGCGTAGCTGAGTATTGCTAATGAAAGATCACATTGGCTGCAAGCTGTGTATAGGACCAAATGACTGGAACCACAGCATCAAATTATCCCATTTGCTAGCCAGTTTCGAAAGTGTGTGATGTTATAAATGTAGCTTTAAAAACGCAGGGTTAAAAGAAAAGCATGAGCAATGTAATATGGAACGAGAGTCATGATGAATGTCACGCATAAATGGTCAAGAAAATAAATGCTTTGTTCCCGTGGCTGTGTTGGAGAAAATAAACTGTAGACAATATCTGAAACACTTTATTACATATCGTATGACCATGAACGATGCAGCTATCACGACAGGACAATTACCCTTACTTGATAACAAGGCATGCACGTCCTCAGTGATCACTGTGTAACATGACCAACTATGCAAGGACCAGCAGTTCCATTACGCAAAGAACCACCATGATTATCCTTCATTATCGGTTTGTTTATGATAGCCATTATGACAATTACGATCAAACAAGCACCCCCTGGTAATTTACTAAATTCAAATGAACCCACCACAGCCTTGCATTAATGTCGTTGATGTTGCTATTGTTTTGTCACGAGTCTCGGCCAGTCTTCCTGAAGTGAAACTGTTTCATGAGTTAACCAGCTCCTCTGACAAAGGGTGTTTTAGATAATCAACATTTCAAAGCCTAAGGCTACTCATATTTGTATCTCTGACACATGAACATAAAAAACGTAATCTTACAATACTGGAGGATAGAGACAGCAATCAAGCCATGTATACTTACAATAGTGGAACATAGAGATCTGGGCCCACTTGCACAAAGCGATCTTAGCGCTAAGATGATCGTAACTCCCATACTTTAACATAGGCTTACGATAGTCTTAGCGCTAAGATCGCTTTGTGCAAGTGGGCCCTCGAGTCCGTTCTCAGCTCCAAGACGATGGTAGCTCCCATAACCTAACATAGGCTTACAATAGTCGCTGTGCAAAAATCGCTTTGAGGAACCGGACCCTGCACTCAAGACACCATGTGTACTGCAACACAGGAACATACATACAATGCATGGCGTGGGAGCACATCTTGTAGGCATAGTTATTGTACGGTTGGTTCCAGATCTAGAACAATTCCGGGACCGCAAAGTTCACGATGCAGTCTTTTTGGAGAAATGAGTGGGTTGGGACAAGAACTGTATACCACAAGCTGTCGGGTTACATAAATCATATTTGTGGTTACAAGCAATTTGCAAGGTTTCCAAATAGTCCGTTACTGAACCTTTCATTCGGCTGTTTAAGTCAGAGCCCTGTGCTTTGTTTAATAGTATGATGCCGCTACACACGCAGTGCCCAACTTAAAGTTGGATGGGACGGTAAAACTAAACATGATTTGTTCAATTGTATCATTTTAAACAACTTTCTTGAAAGTTCAATACCTTTAATTATTCAGTATATAGCTAGACATGCCTACAAGAGCTGGTCGATTTAGCCATGTTGTAAACCGCACACACTCTCACTGTGAGATAGTATTGTTTTACGCCGCTTTTAGCAATATTCCAGCAATATCACGGCGGGGGACACCAGAAATGGGCTTCACACATTGTACCCATGTCGGGAATCGAACCCGGGTCTTCAGCGTGACGAGCGAACGCTTTAACCATCTCGGCTACCCGACCGCCCCCACTCTCACTGTGAAGGAAACAGGTAACAGGGAATGAACCGTTCGTTTATCAAGTTAGATAACTGTACTTTTAGCAGGCATCCATCATCCAATTCACAAAATATATGACTCAATTATTGATTCCTGCTCACAGGTCAGCAATGCAAGGACAGCCTCGAGTGTCTTGACCTTTGCTGCCGTGAGGTCAGAGGTCACAGGTACGGCGTGTTCCACGTGTGCGGGAAACCGGAAGACCGGTATATGTCCTACAGGTGCAGGACAAACGTGGACGTGCGCAGTGAGAACGAGGTCATCGACACTTACGGTGGCTACAACAAAATAGATCCCTGGGCTTAAAGTCAGCCCTGTTCTGAAGTGGATGAATCCTACCTATATATTTGGGTGCCCTGGTGATAATGGTCATGACTCTATACATAACACTCTGTATTCGTTCATTTTATATGAACATAAAATAAAAGATCGATTGACCAAATGCTGTTATTAAGGCTGGTTTCGTGTCAAGATGTTGGCGAAAGAAATATCTAATTGTTTTCGTTCGCCATTGAAATTATGTAACTCTGGACATTTTAACGATTTAACCGTGGCTTTAACAAAGTTTACTTCAAGAAAACAAGCTGCCATTTGAAGGTTTGGTTACTGCAAAGGTTGTACCATGATATCTTGTATAGAGGCGCCCTATATACGTACGAGAGTGTTCTATCGAATGTTAATGTATATTGTGATGAATATTTCATGAAAGTTTTTATTTCTTCTCTATATTTCACTTTGTATTCTCTATCAGTGTTTCAATTTTAATAATCTGGATTTGAATAACGTTTTCTGTAAGGAATCAATGAAGGGGAGCTAACTGATGTTGACGTAGACTACAGCGACCATGTTCGCTTCATCCATTATGTGAAACTGACTCTTAAAATTTTATGCAATACATGGCGATTGCCTATGTTGGTGTTGTTTTATATATATTTTCTGACGATGTTCAGAAGTTCTTCCTCCTTAAAGGACTCGCGTTCGGTTTTTATTATAATGTACAGATTTAAATAAGGAAAACGCAGCAAAGAGGGTTTGGGTGGTCCTGACACAGTCAGGATGGTTAGGCTCATCATCAGCTCGGGGCCCTTGTCACCTCTACACGCAGTCCAGACAGCGAATGGGACTTCTCCCAGGAAGTGCTGCCTAGTCAACCCCACCCAGAAGTTTTCGGAGAATGTGATGACTCCCCAGCACTGCAGCCTTCTGCATTACATTGTCAGAAGGGCTGTATTCCTGGTAGAAAACCCTGGTACTCTCCCAATGTCAGTCAACAGATTGGGGGGTACCAAACCTAAGGCACCTAGAACAATTGGGAGTCGGACAACTTGATACTAGGGATGCAAGCGTGACATTTCGAACTCGAGGTCCGCATATTTGCCATGTTTTTCCTGAATCTTGTCAATCACATGAGTATCAAATGGGCCAGAAAAGTTCGTACCACAGATGGACCTCTGTGTCAAAACCAGAAGTATGTCGAAGGCGATAATAAAAGAATCGAGCCACTCCATCATGTCGCTTAAGATATTGTGTTTGTGCCAAAGCTGGGCATCCACTGACAATGTGTTCGACAATCCCATTAAATTCAATGCATGATCTACATTTCATATTTTCGAATGGGAAGTGACTGGGCAGGGTGAGAACAAGTACCATTTTTTAGCTTATTTTAATATGACGCGACCGGGTTTAGGCCCACGCTCTAACTACTAACCACAGAGGCGGTGTGTTCGTTGAGAACACAAAAAACGACACGTGACGTGTATGGCGCATCCTGAGCGCGGTTGATACGTCATGCATACCAGGTCGAAAGTGACAGACACATGCTCTTTGAACTTGGAACCAATCAGTGAGTGAGGTATAACGCCGCTTCTAACAGTATTACAGTTACATCACGGCGTGTCAGCCTTGTGTGGGAGGAAAGCCCGAAGTGATGCAAGTCTTAAACGTTTACCATTTTGGTACCACACAAGCGTGGGCATGGTGCCGATATACCCAGAAACATAATGGGGGCGACAGGGATTCGAACCCACGATCATAGGTTTCTGGTGTGTCCAAGGGACGCAACTCTGCACAGCGATTTGCGGCGCATTAGACTACTGGGCCACCCGTGTCCCATGATACCAGTGAATTGGGTTGGATGGCTCAAACTGTTTCAGTTCAATCACAGCCTGTTTTCTTCGTGTTGAGGAAATGCACGAAGTACCGCCGGTCGTCGGCCCGATCACGTCTTTAGGACCCACGATCACGGGTACAGTGGACCGAGCGAGGATCACAAATACTGCAAACCCATGACAATTGTACTTTGGTATGGCCACGGAAGGAAACAGCCAGCACCATGGTATCAAACAATATCTTGATTCATGGACTTGCTAAAAATTGTAGGCAGATTTTCTTCAGAAATTCGAAAAATCATTGATATTAGCAATGTTTCACTATTTGACCATGTCATTAATTCAAATTCGGTGGTATAAGGTAAAAAGGCTTGTCCATATAAGCATGTAAGCATTTCAAGACGGGTAACACACAGGTGAATGCTTGAGTAAGAAGTGTTTACATTGAGAAAGATGTGTATGAAACATACACCTTATTCTGGATATATGCATACAACTTAGCCCTGAAACAAACATGCAAATATGCCTTGAAAAACAACTTTGTCTGAATCATATATACACTGAAAGGCAAAAGAAATGTAGCCCCAGAATACATGTGTATACATAAACCATGGCGTCCACCAACTATCATCACTATTTGATAGCGATTCATAAACACTTGCTTAGGATATAGTCGGAACCGTACAAAGGAAGAGATTTCTTATAAAAATAGAAATAGTTACAGCGAGGAATGATATGTGTTAAACAAGAAGCACGTGTGACTAAATATAAGCGACAAATCTGTTTCCAGTGTACGTTTCCGGTGTAGCATTATCGAGAGAAATAGTCCACGACGTTGGTACTGCTCATTTGTGGTCATATACAACACGGTACAACACGATACAACACGGTACAACACGATAAATCACGGTACAACACGATACAACACGATAAATCACGGTACAACACGATACAACACGGTACAACACGATACAACACGGTACAACATGATACAACACGATACAACACGGTACAACACGGTACAACACGATACAACACGATACAACATGATACAACACGGTACAACACGATACAACACGATACAACATGATACAACACGGTACAACACGATATAACATGGTACAACACGATACAACACGATACAACACGGTACAACACGATACAACACGGTACAACACGGTACAACACGATACAACACGGTACAACACGATACAACACGATACAACACGATACAACACGGTACAACACGGTACAACACGATACAACACGGTACAACACGATACAACACAGTACAACACGGTACAACACGATACAACACGATACAACACGGTACAACACGATACAACACGATACAACACGGTACAACACGGTACAACACGATACAACACGGCACAACACGATACAACACGGTACAACACGGTACAACACGATACAACACTATACAACACGATACAACACGGTATAACACGGTACAACACGGTACAACACGATACAACACGATACAACACGGTACAACACGGTACAACACGATACAACACGGCACAACACGATACAACACGGTACAACACGGTACAACACTATACAACACGATACAACACGATACAACACGATACAACACGGTATAACACGGTACAACACGATACAACACGATACAACACGGTACAACACGGTACAACACGATACAACACGGCACAACAGTCATCTAAGTAGCGTCCCTTGGGCACGTCAGAAATGTATTTTCGTTGGTTCGAATCCCGGTTCGCCCCGATTATGTTTCTAGGTTTGTCAGCATTACCCCTGTGCTCGTGTGTTTCACCAAAGCGGTAAACGTCTGAAAATTGCGTCATTTCGGGTTTTAAACCCTACATCAAACAGACCAGCCGTGATGTAACTGGAATACTGTTCACAGCGGCATTAAATCAAATTCACTCATGATCAAGGACCGTAGATACCACAAGAAACAGCATTGGCATGTTACAAAAATTGCTACACATGTTTCTGTCCCTGTGGCGTCAAGGACCATAGATACGATATACAACATTGACATATTACAAGCATTGCTATATGTCCGTATGGCTTCAAGGACCGTAGATACGATATACAACATTGACATATTACAAGCATTGCTATATGTCCGTGTGGCGTCAAGGACCATAGATACGATATACAACATTGATATATAACAAGCATTGCTATATGTCCGTATGGCTTCAAGGACCATAGATACGATACACAACATTTACATATTACATGTATTGCTAAATGTCCGTATGGCGTCAAGGACCATAGATACGATACACAACATTGACATATTACATGTATTGCTAAATGTCCGTATGGCTTCAAGGACCATAGATACGATACACAACATTTACATATTACATGTATTGCTAAATGTCCGTATGGCTTCAAGGACCATAGATACGATACACAACATTTACATATTACATGTATTGCTAAATGTCCGTATGGCGTCAAGGACCATAGATACGATATACAACATTGACATATTACATGTATTGCTAAATGTCCGTATGGCTTCAAGGACCATAGATACGATACACAACATTTACATATTACATGTATTGCTAAATGTCCGTATGGCTTCAAGGACCATAGATACGATACACAACATTTACATATTACATGTATTGCTAAATGTCCGTATGGCTTCAAGGACCATAGATACGATATACAACATTGACATATTACATGTATTGCTATATATATGTGTGGCTTCAAGGACCATAGATACGATATATAACATTGATATATTACAAGCATTGCTATATGTCCGTGTGGCTTCAAGGAATATAAATACGATACAGTTTAGTAACATGTTACAAGCTTTGCTGTGTGTCCGTGTGGCTTCAAGGAATAAAAATACGATACACATTATTGACATATTACAAGCATTGCTGTGTGTACGTGTGGCTTCAAGGACCATACACGTCTTGTGTTACGTTTTCAAACAAGATATAGAATATAGAATACATAATGACACAAGTGTTGTATCTTGAGCATGACACACCTGCCAGTTGAATCCTGATCACGACACCGATCCGCCCACTTGTCTACAAGGAAGTGTTTGAGTACAGTGATGGATCAGCCGTGCGGTAACTGAAACGTGTCTACCTAGTCCATCTGTCCAATCACACAAAACAAGCGAGATTTTATAAACTGAGAGCACACGTAACATACGACCGCAACCGGTAATACTTATGAATAAATGTCCAAGGTACAGTGAAGGCGATACTCAGAACCGCGGTTTACAGCGTGAAACAATGTCATCGTTGTGTGTCATCCTTTCTCATTATTATTAATGGTTTTGCTTAACTGTGTTCCATAGTCTGGAGACCAATTATACCTCAGGAAAAGAATTTGTAATTATGCCATGTGTGGAACTGAGACATTATCCCCAGGTATATGAGGCAACTGAGACACCTAAGGTAACTGGGGTAACAGGTAATTGGGGTAACTTGGGTAATTGAGGTAACCATTATCTGCCACACAGATGCACGTGATACATTTGGAATTAACAGATAACCAAAGGCATGCCTAAGAATCAAACTTCAGCCTGCCCATTTGCCCGACCTTATTTCCCTTTAAATCAGTCCCGCGTGCGTCCGTGCATGGGGTGACCCAACACATTCACCTCGTTATATAGTGATACACCTGTCTTTCATCATCATTTATTTGTAGTTCAACTTAAAATGCCTCCAGATCAGTTACAGTACTTGTGTTAGAACACCGTGCTCTTGTAGGTCTAATTTGCTCAACACACTGCAAATGTCAGACGTTG